GATTCTTCCAATCCATGAACATGATTTTTCCATTTTTGATATCTTCTTCAATTTCTTAAAATTTTGTAATTCTCATCATACAGATCTTTGAATCCCTTGGTTAAGTTTATTCCAATGTGTTTTTTGTAGTTATCGTGAATGGGATTGATATTAGAAATCCTTTCTCAGCCATGGCATTGTCTGTATATATAAGGGTGGTTGATTTTTGCGTATTGGTTTTGTAACCTGCTACTTTACCAAACTCTTCTATGATTCCAATAGTCTCTTGGTAGAGTTGCAGATCATATCATCTGCAAAGAGGGATAGTTTGACTCTTCCTTCCCAATTTAAATCCCTTTGATTTCTTTTTATTGCCTAATAGCTCTGGCTAAAACTTCCAGTATTATATTGAATAGCAGTGGTGAGAGTGGACATCCCTGTCTAGTACCGGATCTCAGTGGGAATGGTTTCAACTTTTCCCCATTCAGTATGATGCTGGCCATGGGTTTGTCATGAATCATCTTGATTGTAATGAAGGATGTTCCTTCTATACCTAATTTGCTCAGAGTTTTCATCGTGAAAGGGTGTTATATTTTATTGAATGCTTTCTCTGCATCTTTTGAGATAATTGCATGCTTTTTCTTCTGCAGTTTGTAAATGATTTATTGATTTGCAAATGTTGAATGATCCTTTCATACCAGGGATAAATCCCACTTGGTCTGGGTAGATGATCTTTCTGATGTGTTGCTGCATTCTACTGGCTAGAATTTTATTGATGATTTTTTTCATCTATGTTCATCAGGTAAATTGATTTGTAATTCTCTTTCTCTGGTGCCTCTTTTTTAGGTTTAAGGATGAAGGTGATTCTGGCTCTGTAGAAATAATTTGGGAGGATTCCCTCTCTTTCAGTTGTTTTGAATACCTTGAGAGTACTTGGAGTTAATTCTTTAAATGCCTGGTAGAATTCGGCAGTGAATCCATCCAGTCCTAGGCTTTTCTTTGTTGGGAGGGCCTTTATTACTGTTTCAGTTTCTGTCTTAGATATGGATCTATTTAGGTTTTCTATGTCTTCATGGTTCAATTTAGGTAGGTTGTATGTGTCCAGGAATCTTTCTATTTCTGCTAGACTTCCCAGTTTGTTGGCATACAGCTCTTCGTAGTAATTTCTGATGACTATTTCTTTGGTGTCTGTTGTTTCTGTTGTTACATTCTCTTTCTCATCTCTGATTTTAATGGTTTGGGTCTTGGGTCTTCCCTCTCCTTTTTTTTTTTTTTTTGGTTAGTTGGTCCAATGGTGTATCAATTTTGTTTATTTTTCAAAAACCCAGCTCTTTGTTTTGCTGATCTTTGTAATTTTTTTGGATTAAATTTTGTTGATTTCTTCTCTGATTTTAATTGTTTCTTTTCTCCTACTAGGTTTGGGTTTGGTTTGCTGTAGAGTTTCTAGATCCCTGTTATGGATTGGTAGCTCATTTATTTGGTGCCTTTCCAATTTATTGATGTAGGCACCTATTGCTATAAACTTTCCTCTTAACACTGCTTTTGTGGTATCCCATAAGTTTTGATATGTTGTGTTGTTATCTTCATTTGCTTCCAGAAAGTTTTTGATTTCTCTTTTGATTTCTTCAGTGACCCAGTGTTCATTCAGGAGCATGTTGTTCAGTTTCCATGTGTTTACATATGCTCTAGAGATTCCTGAGTTGCTGATTTCCAGATTCATTCCATTATGTTCTGAGAAGATGCATGGTATGATTTTGACTTTTTTGAATTTGCTGAGACTTGGGAAGTGAAACAGCTAATGGAAGATTTTTTCCCTATCTTTCTCTCCCTGTCATTCAGCCATGCAAATACATAAATACTTAAAAGGAGAGAAAAACCTCTAGAATTTTGGTAAAGGACAATGTTTGTTCAGGAAATGTTAACATTTTTCTGTATAGCTTGTGATTTGTAGCCTGATTTGTTGATCAATAGGATTACAATTTTCACTAGCTTAGGATATATTTCTCTGATCCTACTCCCAGTGAGATCTGCACTTACATATGTGCCATACCACTTGCCCATACCACTTGCTAGCATCCCACACATCACTGAGTCTCCAGTACTTTCATCTGAGATCCCATATTAATGAGACCCATTCCAATGGAAGATATTTGTATCCTCAGCAAAATGAGAATGAAAAAATCTCCTTCCTCTGTAGTCATTTTTGGCATTGGATTTAACCTCCCATGCTACATATCTTCAGAATTTGGCAATTGACAATACACAAAAAAGGCATATCTGGTGATGTTTAAGTTACTAATTTTGTCATTCTACCTCTAAAAATTCTGCTGAGTTTTCTATTCTTGAATTTGAGCTTGCATAGTTTCTGGATATTGAGTTTCAGTTAGAATAGATTTTCCTAATCTAAGATTATTAATCACACACTGCATGTAATTCTAAAGTTGTTAAATACTCAGTGTGAACTGTGGGTTCACTTTTAATTTTATTTTGTGTATGTTTTCCACAAAATTTGCTAAAAAGTCTATAACCCCTAGCCTCTGTGCATTTCTTGCCCCCTTTCATGGACTTAGAGAGATCCATCTATTAAAGTGAACTGCTGTAACAGATGCTCTATTTGTTAGTGTCTCACAACAATAGGGTTGAAAAGTTAGGGTATAATTAGGTGACAAGTGACTCCCAGACACTGCAGGGCTTCCACATTTAAAGTGTGTTTCAGATCTCCTATTTTTCTTCATCCTGCTATAGTGACCTTTACTAGAAATGCTCATCTTTGTGATTGGAGAATATAGAAGCCATTGGACCAAGTAAAGCTCTCCTAGAAGTGACACAATTCATATCTACTGATATTTGCTGAGTGAGAATCATGTGAACTTGTGTGAGTTCTAGACTGGGAGAGGATATGTGATTTTCTCACAAGAAACAATACTGAAGTTGAGTGAGCAGTGGTCACCACACATCAGTTAATCTTATCTCACAAGTGTCTTAACTTCATTCCATACCCAGAGAGACAAACTTAAAAAATATCATCTATTCTCAACTTTGAAATCAAATCCAAGTTCTGTGAATGAAACCAGACATGTATCATGTCCAGATGTGGCTTCTCTTGATTGTTAGACCTGTGTGTCATGAGCAGACAAGGTGACTGCTTTGTTTTTAATCAGTGTACATGATTTAAAAAGGAGGAGGATAATCATGACAGCCATTCCTTTTTTATAATTTCATTTTAAAAATAATTTAGGAATTCTGGAGGATAGCAGCACTGTCTCATGGCAATATGACCATACTTGGGATACATGTGGAGAGTGGCCTGTGCTGTGTACTTGAGACACAGACTTTGTTGACTCCATTCCATACCTTGGTAGCTCTTCAACCTGTTGTTTTCCAAGGAATCATTGTTTCTTCTCAGAAATAGCTTTCTTTAACCATTATCAATATTATTTACATTACATCATTTTTTGACAGGCAGAGTGGATAGTGAGAGAGAGACAGAGAGAAAGGTCTTCCTTTTGCCATTGGTTCACCCTCCAATGGCTGCTGTGGCCGGCGCAGCTGGCACGCTGAGGCCAGCACACCATGCTGATTGATTGCAGGAGCCAGGTGCTTATCCTGGTCTCCCTTGTGGGTGCAGGGCCCAAGCACTTGGGCCATCCTCCACTGCACTCCTGGGCCACAGCAGAGAGCTGGCCTGGAAGAGGGGCAACTGGGACAGGATCTGGTGCCACGACTGGGACTAGAACCCAGTGTGCCAGCACCACAAGGTGGAGGATTAGCCTAGAGAGCCATGGCACTGGCTCCACATTACATCATCGACCAGGACTGAATACAGCATGCTTACTATGGGCTGGGCTGCCTTGTTGGCTTCCTTCTTGTTTATAATATAACTTCTTTATCTTCTGGCACTTTTGAAGTAAATTTGGTTGTTTCTGACAGTATAACCCTTTAGAATGTGTGTGTATGTGTGTATTTGTGTGTGTGAGTGTATTTGTTATTCCAGCCAGGTGTCAGCCTTCTGAAACATGACATTTTGTCTGGTTATGTTACTAGTGTTTTAGCATGTTTTTTAGATGTACCTTGTGATCTCCTTCCTGTGATTTTGAACAATTGAAAATTCTATTGAGAACAACTAATTCATTTACATGATTTAGCAATAGCTGTCATGGTCATAACCTTAATTTTCAAGTTAACATGGATTTCAGTATGAATGTTTTGGCTTTCCAAATTGTTTCTTACTGTATATTTTACTTGTAAGATTAAAAAAGGCAGACTTGAAAACCTTATAATAAAAGCCCAAATGAAAATGCTTTGAGAGTTTTCCATTCCTATGCATCCTCAAGTTTCTGGTTTCTTCCTCTTCCCTTTATCTCTTTCTTGTATGATTTGGATATTTTTATGAGCTCAGCATTTTCCTGTAGACATATGAAGTAGAGTGAACTGTACCTGATACATGTTACTGATATTCTTTTTCCTGCTTCAAACTCTATGTCCATGATGTAAATATTATTTGACCTATGGCCTGGTTACATAATTGTGGTAAGTCATTAAGTACACACAAAAATTTATCAAATAATTAACGGAAAAAATACATTATAAAAAACTATGCATAAATTTAAAAAAGTTTGCAATAAAATAAATGATCTGATAATACAGAAAAATTTATTTTTTAAGAAATTCCTCGTTCTCCCAATTGATGTTCAACATTTTCTCCTGTAACTCATCTAATGCTAATTCAGTCATATGTTTACATGTATTTCTACAGATTGCAGTATGGGCTCTTTTCAAAATCATTAGGAGAAAGAGCAGTTCCATAATAACAAGCATTCCACTGTACTGATTTTTGAATTATGAAATTAATATAGAAGCAAGACATTTTCATTGTAATTTTGCATTCTGTTGCCATATAGATTCCAAAATCATCCGCATCTTATATAAGAGGCATAGAAGACACACACAGAGAAATGCACTCCTAGTTTTTTGTGACAGAACTGGCATGATGAACCAAAAAAAAAAATGTGCTGTTGCAGATGTTGGTGTCATTTGAAGACCTGGCTGTGGACATCACTCAGGAGCAGTGACAGTACCTGGACAGTTCTCAGAGGACCCTGTACAAAGATACGATGATGGAGACCTACAATAGCCTGTTGTTTTTGGGTGAGTATTATTCCCCTCTCATGCCGAAGTGAAACAGTTACTTCCCATGTGGCAAGCAAATTAATTGTTTAAAAGATTACATGGTGGATAAGCATAGAATTTGAGGCCCAGAAACATGAGGAAAGGATTGAAATCAACAATTTTGTTTCACAGCCCCTGTGAACAAGCTGTTGTCTTTCAAAACTCTAACATAATGATATGATGACACCCAGCATTATTTCCCTTTAACAGGGTACTGCAAAAGCAAACCTGAGGTGATCTTCAAGTTGGAACAGGGGACAGAGCCATGGACAGTGACAAATTCCCCTAAATTGGAGCCTGTCAGGTCAGTCAGCACACATGGGACAGGGAGACTGGGATGGAAAAGATCTCAAGGAATGTTGACTGGGTAGAGCATTTCTCATTATTTATCCCAAGTCTCAGTCCTGAGAACAGCTGATATGATGCATCATCTGCTTGTTGTTTTGCTCTGGGTGAATACTTTGTCAGAACTACCAACAATGCAATCAATTTATTTTTAAAATTTTATTTATTTATTTGAGAGGTAGAGTTACAGACAGACAGAGGGAGAGATAGAAAGGTCTTGCATTCACTGGTTCACTCCTCAGATGGCTGCAATGGCCAGAGCTGAGCTGATATGAAACCAGGAGCCAGAAATTTCCTCTGGGTCTCCAAGATGGAGAGCACTTGGGCCATCTTCCACCACTTTCCCAGGCCATTAGCAGAGAGCCGATTTGAAGAGGAGCACCTGGAACATGAACTAGTACCCATATGGGTTGTCGATGCTGCAGGCAGAATTTTAGCTTACTGTGCCACAGTGCTAGCCCCATTGCAATCAATTTCTGCCTGTAATGAGACTAATTTTTAGGTTAAATACATCCCCTGTATTCAAACTTGTCCTTCTTCCTACTGTCACATCCTGTTTTTCTTCAGATGTTTATTCTTTTTTTTTTTTTTTTTGACAGGCAGAGTTAGAGAGGGAAACAGAGATAAAGGTCTTCCTTCCATTGTTTCACTCCCTAAATGGCTGCTCCAGCCAGTGTGCTGTGGCTGGTGTGCTGCACTGATCTGAAGCCAGGAGCCAGGTGCTTCCTCCCGGTCTCTGATGTGGGTGCAGGGCCCAAGCACCTGGGCCATCCTCCACTGCCTTCCTGGGCCACAGCAGAGAGCTGGACTGGAAGAGGAGCAACCAGGACAGAATCTGGCACCCCAGGCAGGACTAGAACCTGGGGTGCCAGTGCCACAGGTGGAGGATTAGCCAAATGAGCCATGGCACTGTCCTATTCATGTATTTATTCTATCAATGCTTATAAAAATTGGATCACACAGAGGAACTGATTTCTTATTAGTTGCAGAAATTTAGTTCCCACTCATGGTTTTGACCAGGCACAGGCCTTACTGTTGCACAAATTTGAGTACTGAATTAGTGAACGTGAGCTTTCTCATTGTCTCTTTCCTCTCCCTTATTCTGTCTTTTTTTAAGATTTATTGATTTGAAAGTCAGTTACTTGGAGAAAGAAGGAAAGGCAGAGAGAGAGAGGTCTTCCAAGTGCTGGTTCATTCCCCAATTGGCTGCAGCTGCCGCCAATCTGAAGCCAGGAGCCAGTAGATTCCTCTGGGACTCACACATGGGTGCAGGGCCCAAGTACTTCTACTGTACATCTTCTACTGCTTTCCCAGTCAGAAGTGGAGCAGCTGGGACTTGAACTAGTACCCACATGGGATGCCAACACTGCAGGCAGTGGCTTTACCCGCTATGCCATAGTGGCATCCCCTCTCTCCCTTTTTTCTGTCTCTGATTCTCAAATAAATGAGTAACAAAATAAATGGCCATTGCAAGCAATTGAAAAGTGAATGAGTGAATGGGCTTTGTTTTTCTGTCCCTATCCCTGTAGTTCAAATAAATAAATCATGAAGAAAATGGGATGCCAGTGTTGCAGGAAGCAGGTTAACCTGCTATAATACTTTTCCTGCTCCTTTTATAATATAATTATAATATAAAAGTTTAGAAATGCATAAGAGAATCAGTTTTCTGTAAAAATGGGATAATTTTGAGCATCTAGCACAAGCATTGAAAGACATAACTTTAAATTTTAGAGCAAGAGTGTAATACCAAGAACTCAAAGAATACCAAGTATGCTGGTTTCATAATGAGGTTGAAGTACTTCTCAAAGAAGGTGAACATAATCCTAATGGCAGAACATATTTCCTTAAATTGATTGGAAAGCATACAAAAAATGATGTATGGGACATTTATGGGCCTTCTGTGGTACTGAGAATCTGAAGATACTAGGTTTTCTTAGGAATCTGTGGAAACCTGTCATCATAATGTGCATATAAAAGATTTGGGAAGGGCTGAGATTGTGACAGTATGTTGAACCACTTCCTGTAATGACAGCATTTCATATGGGCACCAACTTGAGTCCTGGCTGCCCCACTTGTGATGCAGCTCCCTGGTACTGTGCCTGGGAAAGCAGCAGATGTTTCTTTGCACATATCTGGGAGACTCATTTGGAGTTCTGTGCTCCTGTCTTTACCCTGGTACAGCCCTGACCATTGCAGCCATTTGGGGAGTGAATAAGTGGATGAATACTCTCTCCATCTCTCTTTGTAACTCTGTCTTTAAAAAAAAATAAATCTTTTTTAAAAGTTTTTTTTTATTTATTTGAAAGAGAGAGAGAGAGAGAGAGAGAGAGAGGTAGAGACAGAGAGAGAGAGAGAGGTCTTTCATCTGCCAGTTCACTCCTAACTGACTGAAATGCGTGCAGCTGAATCAATATGAAGCCAAGAGTCCAGAGTTTCTTCTGGGTCTCCTATGCAGGTACAAGGACCAAGTGACTTGGGCCATCCTCTGCTGTTTTCTCAGGCACATTAGCAGGTAGCTGAATCTGAAGAGGAGCAGCTGAGACTTGGCACCCATATGGGATGCTGGTGCCACAGGGCAAGGCTTTAACCCACTGCACTACAGCACCAGCCTCTAAAATAAACAAATCTTGAAAACATTTAAAGGAGGTGTTTTTGCTTAAGAAACCCCACAGATCTCTATAGCCATTCCCCTGGAAAAACTGAACATGCAGCAACCAAAAAATGGATGCTGTTTCTAAGTTATGGTCCTGCCTAGGGGATACACACATGTCCTCTTCTGGTACCTATAAGTAAGTGATCCAATGAAGTTTTCCCATCTTCAAAGCTGAATGATTAAGGAAGCAAGAAACCTCACTTTTATAAGAAATGATGATGGCTTCTGGGAAGTTTGCAGCTTATTACTCAAATAAGATAGTTGGTAAGTATTTTTACTAAGTGTTTCTCAACTTTTATGAATATTTACTTAGTTATGAAAATGTTTATTAGGTTCTCCTTGCAAGGCAGAATGAAAGTAACAGAGAAATAGAGAATGAGAGAAAAGTCCTCCATCTACATGTTCATTGCCCAAATGCCTGCAACAGTAAGAATGAGGCCAACCTGAAACCAAAAGCCAGTAAATCTGTTTGGGTCTTTTAAGTGTGTGGCAGGCTCCAACACACTTAGAATCATCATTGGTTGCCTGCCAGGACACATTAGCAGGAATCTGTATTGGAAGCACAGTAGCCAGGACTCATCTGGTACTAATGTGGGATGACTGTATCTTCAGAAATGGTTTGACCCACTGCCTGACATCACTTGCCCCTTCTCTCCACTTAAAACAATTAACATAGTTAAATGTATGAATTTGGGAAAGCTTCCTTTGTTTTATTACCTTAGTGTATTATGAAGAAAAAGATATATAGGGCAACACTGAATACCTTTTACTGACCTATTCAAATGCTATTCCACTAAGAAATTGCATTGCTTTTACTTGAACATTCTACAAGTAACATTTATATATGGTTCATGGATATAGTTTTTTTTTTTTCTCATTTCAGCCCACAGAAGGGATGACCTATTGGGAACCAACTGGAAAAGTCAACAAATAAATTTGAGGCAAGTTGTAATCACAAACAACAACTTAGCACACAAGAGAGTTAAAAAGCAACACTTAGCTGGTGCTGTGGCTCAACAGGCTAATCCTCCGCCTAGCAGCACCGGCACACCAGGTTCTAGTCCCAGTCAGGGTGCCAGATTCTGTCCCAGTTGCCCCTCTTCCAGGCCAGCTCTGCTATGGCTGGGGAGTGCAGTGGAGGATGGCCCAAGTGCTTGGGCCCTGCACCCCATGGGAGACCAGGAGAAGCACCTGGCTCCTACCTTCAGATCAGCGTGGTGCACCAGCTGCAGCGGCCATTGGAGGGTGAACCAATGGCAAAGGAAGACCTTTCTCTCTCTCTCTGACTGTCCACTCTGCCTGTTAAAAAAAAAAGCAACACTTAATTTAAGCTCAGGCCATATTTTTACTGAAAGCTGAGACATATAATTTATTTCACAATTTGCTTCTCCCTAGGAGGCCTGATGAGATGTGAGCTGCAGAGAAATCTGATGGCACTAATGTACCTGGCAACTCAAGTGAACGTTGGGAGCCCATCAGGCAGCCTCACAAGATTCAGCCTTTTCAGCAGGTGTTTGAACACAGTGTAAAAGGCAAAGGGTTCAACAGGAAAAGGGTGTTCTTTACAAATGAAAGGGCTCATATGGGAGACACCTGTAATAAGTCAGTTGGCATTGTAGGAAAGACAACTGAACATGTAAAGAAACTTTCCAGAAAAAGTCCTACCTCAGTAAACCTCACAAGCACACACAGGAAAGAAACTTTATGAATCTTTTGAGTATGAGGAAACTCTCATTTACAAATCAGATTTTATCACAAGTCAAAGAACACATACAGGAAGAAAAACCTATTCTTGTAACCCCTGTGGAAAATCTTTCAATTGTAAATCCTGCCTTTCTATCCATCATAGAACTCAGAAAGGGGAAAGGCCCTCTGGGTGCAATGAATGTGGGAAAGCCATTTACCTGAGGTCAGATACTACAAATCACATGACTCACACAAGATACAAATCTTTCACATGTAAAACATGTGGCAAAGCATTTTATTGGAAGTCACAACTCATTCTACATCAGAGATTTCACACAGGGGAGAAACCTTATCAATGTAATACATGCGGAAAAGGCTTTCATTGGAAAACAATCCTTATTTCACATCAAAGAATTCACACAAAGGAGAAATCTTACAAATGTGATATATGCAGAAAAGCCTTTTCCTGGAAGTCAAATCTCACTGTACATCAGAGAATTCACATAGGGCAGAAACCTTATGAATGTAATAAAGGTGGAAAAGCCTTTATCCAAAAGTCAAATCTAACTTCACATCAGAAGATTCACATAAATGAGAAACCTTATGGATGTGAAATGTGTGAAAAAACCTTTCGCTAGAAGTCAAACCTTACTACACATCAGAGAAAATTCACACAGGGGATAAACCTTTTGAATGTAATACATGTGGAAAAGCCTTTTGCCAAAAATCACAACTCATTGCACACCAGATGATCCACAAAAAGGAAGAAAACTTATGAATGTAGTACCTGTGGAAAATCGTTTTTCCAGAAGTCACAACTCACTCTACATAAGACGGAGAAGATTTATAAATGCAAAATGTGTGGAAAACCCGTTTGTTGGAAATCACAACTCTTTACCCATCAGAGAATGCATAGATCAGAGAAAATTTATGAATGCAATACATGTGGAAAAGTCTTTTGTAATAACTCACAACTCATTACACATCAGAGAGTTCACACAGGGGAGAAACCTTATCAATGTGATGAATGTGGAAAAACATTTTCCCAGAATTCAAACTTCAGAAGGCATCAAAGAACTCACATGTAAGAGATAACTTGTCAGTGCTATGGATAAGAAAAGACTTTTTGCCAGAAGCTACATCTC